ACAGGAAGAAACCTCAGATCAGATCGAAAGTCCTAAATGTAAAATTACATGATAAGCACATTTGACTATAAGGTTAAAATACCACACAAACATGTAAGGTTGGGTTATATTTAAAAATTTTCATCTTTCTTGGGTCTTTATGAAAAAGCGTAATCTATGCACTTTATATATAATCCTTGTGTTTGCAGTGCTCAGTGACCTGTGGTTCAGGTCAGCAGACCAGAGAAGTGACCTGTATGGGTTCAGATGGTACGAAGCTGGATGAAACATCCTGCAGTGCTTTGCTACGCCCGGCCGCTGTCCAACGATGTGAGATGGCCCCCTGCCCCCGACAGATCAGCTGGCACGTAGGAGATTGGGGACTGGTAAACCTGATGCACACATGCAACCAAACAAGGACTCATAAATGTAGTTATAGCAGCTGTATGGGTGAAAAACTCTCTCCATTTACCTGCAGTGCTCTAAGAGTTGTGGATCTGGCTCACGAGAGCGCCAGGTGATCTGCTCTGATCAGGAGAGGAACCTGTACCCTGTGGACCAGTGTAACACCCAGCCCAAACCATTCACAGTGGAGCGCTGCAACACCCAGCCCTGTTACAGCCCACAGGGTGAGCAAATGCTAACTAAGCAAATAAACAATACACCTGTTGTTATTTTATTTCTCAAGTTAAGTTGTGAAATTTCCATTTACTTAATAGACTGCAATCTATAAATACCATGTGCAGACTTACATTTAACATTTTGTGACTGCTGCCAGTCTTCAGTTAAGTTGCAATGGCATGCTTACACTGTTCTGCGTTTGTTTTATCCACACTTTGTGCAGTCGTCCCCAGCATTCAGGACCCACGGGGACATGACAGCACTCAGATTGGCTTCCAGCCTTATGTGCCAGATCACGCAACAGGTTAGACTCCACCTCTCAAAGGCATCTCATAATCACATCAGCATTGAAAATAAGCTAGTACATAAGCATTTTTAGCTACGTAGTTACTCAGAAAGTAAACAAAAAACCACTGAAAAAGCCCAATGTGACATCACCAAGGTGACATCACCAAGGTAACATCTTGTCAGCCAGTTGTTAACAATTAAAACTACCAAAACATACCATCTTCTTATTTTGGTGGGAGCATTAAAAGCTAATTGTAGGTGTGATTGCCCTTCTGTTGCTCAGCATCCCCTCTTCTCTGCTGATATAACTCCTGTCACTTTGTCCCCAGCAACCCCTCCACCCCCCTTCATCCCCATTCAGCCTGTCCCAGCACTAATTATCTGGGCCTGATTGACATGTTTTTATGGTTCCATGGTCATTGTTGGCCTGGTTAAAATATTTCTGAAGCACTGAAGTGTGCTAGTGCTGGCAGTGGCGTTTCTGGCATTTTCAGCATCATGTGCTGTCCCAGTGGTCAGGAATTTTAAGTTTGACGTCTTGTGTGTTTATTTCCCTTCAGATTGTTACGTCAGATTGCTGATCATGATTTCTTTTATAATTTCCTCTGCTTTGTTAGCCCATAAACAAAAGGAGTATGGCTTTTTTTTGTTCTTCAGCATCCTGTACAGACTCACTGTGTGGTCTCAAACACAATGACAGACTCTATTGTTTATTCAACCGATGTGTGAACGTCCCTATTGCTTGTATGGTGTTGTCTTGTGAACCATGGTGAACTATGGGGTCTGTTTTGCATGTACAATGTGTGAATTCACCGCTCACTTGGCTTTGCCTGTAGCCCGCAGGCCTGAGACAAGAGATCCAACCCAGACGAATGCAGTGTACGACCCTCACAGCTCCGCCCCGGCTCTCCACTGCAGCCAGTCTTATTATGGCTGCTGCTCAGATGGGCATACTTCAGCCAGAGGCCCCCAGGGTCTGGGTTGCCCATCAGTTCCAGCTCCCTCTCCTGTCCCAACATCCTGCATTCAGACCAGGTATCCACCTGCACTCTGTTATTGCGCTGCAGTTGAGGTCATATGCAGAGCCTTTTTTTTTTTTTTTTAGGTCGCTGACTTGGTTACTAACCAGGGACTATGTGGCATTATACGTGACCAGAAGCTCAAACTTTTAATACCAACTGTTCTTGCTCTCTTCCTGTTCTGTTTGTCAGTTATGGCTGCTGTGAAGATGGTGTGACGGCTTCTCAGGGCCCCAATAAGGAAGGCTGTGCGGAGTATGTGAACCCTGCACCAACTGTAAGCAAAAGCACACAAAGGTCTGAATGAATGAAACATTAGTCAAATGTCAGTCAAATTCTTTAAAGAATAGGAAAATATTGCCTTATTTCATGTGTCATGCCTTTTCAGGTTACACCTTCTCTCCCTACTGAGAATGCAGTAGAATGCCGCACCACCACCTATGGCTGCTGCTATGACCGCACCACACCTGCAGGAGGACCCAATGGGGAGGGCTGCCCCAATCCTCCAAATTATAGTAAGTTTTCTAAACTCAATGAAGAGAAATCTTTTTTTTATTTTTATATTATTTCCAGTTAAGATATAATTTTGTGCTGTTGGTTACTGAGATGCTCCAATTTAGAGGTCACTCTAACAGTCGCTTTTATCCAGTTGATCTAGATCACCTGCTACAACACCATCATGGCCATGATATCAATCATGGCCATGATGGTGTTGTAGCAATTGGCAGTAATAATATGAGAACAAATAATCAGACAGAGAAACAAAAAATGGTATGCAGCAGAGGACGCTTACTGAATACAAAACATGGGAGTTGTTTTTCATGTTTACTCCTCAGGCCCCATAGTGCTGTAGTAAGAAAACCGACTATAAACAAATATGTGACTGCAGTAAACTGTAACATTTTAGTAGTAATACTGAACACAAACATTCAAATTATACTTGATAAAAATACTATGATATTGTTTTTCCTCTGTATTTGCACAATACATCTATGCAAGACAGCCCTGTTTGAGAAAATGCTTGACAATGACAAACAGCTGATCTGCATTGTGTTGTCTTTGTGCAGTTGAGCGATCAATCTGCTCCCTGCCCCGTGCTGCTGGCTCCTGCAGCAGTTGGGTGTCCCGGTACCACTTTGATGTGATCTCCTCCAAATGTGTGCACTTCTGGTATGGAGGATGCCACGGCAACAGCAATAACTTCATGACCCTAGCAGAGTGCAAACGGGCATGTCCACGACCTGCACCCAGCCGGCAGGCCCCGCAGCCTGCAGCTCCCTCTGGAGAGTCTACAAGAACCGCAGCTGGAGAACACAGCACGACTGGAGCAGAGACCTCAGCTGGAAGAGGATCTACAACGGATGGGCGGTCACGCAACATGGGGAGGATTTTCATAGTCCAGCGTGGCTCGACCAGCAGCACCAGCAGACAGGCTACAAGTGCAGCCACTAATGCCCACAGAGGTAGAGTCTACCTGCGGGTACGCCGGCCTTCACATGGCACAGCTGCACAGCACACCGGCCCAGCTGCGAGGTAAGACCCCAAAGACCCAGGGAGAGCAGTGAAAAGCTAACCCTACCCGATCCAACCCCACTACTACCACTAATGGCCTCGTAATGCTGTTCAGAGCCTTCTAATTCATGCTGAAGGAGCCCCAGTTCACTCTACCCTGCAGGGCCAAAGAGTGGGCTATAGGAGATGGAAACGCAATCAAAAGACAAATCATGTGCCTCATTCACCTATCCTGGAAATATGACGGTGGAGCTGAAGCAACCAAAAATCATATATAAGCAAATTATATTTTATGCAATCCAATTTTTTTTAAACTTTCTTTAGTAAAATCTATCAGGGAACAAAATGGAGAACATTAGCTAACTTAGTCTTACCCTCGATGTGGTTAAGCTCTCACTCTGACACAGCAGGGTGTGTCATTTTCCTGTAACATCTGGTGTAACAAAGCACACCTCTGACCACATCTAACCTCACCCACAAGTAAATCAGGCTGTGTGCTTTCCAGCCTGGTGTTGAGTTTCAACAACCTTTCCCATTTTTCCTGGATTTTGTTCAACAAAATACTTAATGTACTGTGCTTCTGTGTAACATGCTGTCTTTGTAGACTCTTTCGATGCTCATATAATCTAAACTCTTGCTTTATATTGAAGCCACAGCTCTTTCCAGCTCCACAGACTTTCACTCTCATGCCTGCTTATGTCGCAACACCTCATTTCTTCCTTTAACCTCAACCAAATCAGGAAGAAGTCACCAGACCTCACACACCTTATATGGACATCAGTGCTGTTTAATGCTTTTGGGACTCACTGCTCTCTGTCAGTCATTATTGTTGGTGCTTATTTGTGCATGCTACCTCTCTGTGTCAGTAACCACCATCACATCTGGGCTTTGGTGTCTTCACCTAAATGTCATGAAATCAAACTAATAAAAATTCTGCTGTGGTAATTCAGTCATCCTATGTGTGTGGTCCCTAAATCTCTCTTTCTTGTTTAGATGGTATTAGATTTAGATTTCTTTAGTGGTGTTTGGGTACTTTACATGAAAGGTGTCCTTGTCTCTTTTGTATGTTAGTGGTATTTTGTATTTGGGTTTTTTTGCACTGTTTGTCTCGTCACTTTTTGGGCTGCATGTGGATTTCTCTTCTCTGAGCTATATCTGACAAACTCTTAAAGCCAGGTTGTGGGCGCTCTTTATGCTTGCTTTGGTGGCTGCTGATAAAAGTACCAACAGTGGAGCATAAAGTGACTTTTTTTCTCTTCCCTTCTTCAAATGTCTCTTCCTTTGTCCTTTTTCCTTTCACATTTCCTTCTTCCTGTTCTTTTCTCCTTTGTTTTCCTTCTGTTTCCTTTCCTTTTATCACTCCCTATTCTTCAGCTTGACTCTGGGGGGAGTAACGATTGATAAGACCGACCCATCCACAGTCGAGGCTTTAGTTGGCCAAACAGTTGTGCTGCCCTGCCGAGTCAGCCCTCCACCTTCCTCCACCGTTGTCGTGGAGTGGAGGAGGGATGGTATACCTCTATCAACTCACAGGTATGTAGAGAAACATACTCAGTGACTTAATTTACATTCAAGTTGTTTTTCTGTTGCTATTTTTATTTATATCTATCTTTTAATTGCATTTAGGCATCACCAACAGCCCAATGGTTCTCTGTTAGTAGGTCCTGTCTCTAAGCTGGACTCTGGCTGGTTCCTGTGTGTGGCCACTCGAGAACGAGAGAGAGACCACCGCTACATTTACCTGGCTGTCTCAGGTAATTACATTTCAGCCACAATCTCTATGGTCAAAACAAGACTGGTAGGTTCACTTGCAGATAATTATATCTGAAGGTAAGTAAGTTAAGATACAAAGTAGTGGAAAAATTTGAAAAACATTACTATGACAGTCCAAACAAACTGATATGTGGGACATGATCTGAATTACATATTCTTATAGTTGATGTCAACAGAGTGACCTTTGCTGACAAAGGGGAAATGGCATATTTTGGAAGAGGCTCAGAGTGATAAGGAGCTTTTAATCGATAAGCATTTTTGAGGGAGGTGATATTTAAAGGCTTTTATCTGAAGTCTTCATTTGGTGGTATGTCTCTGATTTCAGGACTCACCTGTTATACATATCCACAGACTAAATGGCATTGCAATTCATTGCAATTTCCAGGCCATTTCATTGGGAATCAATTCAAGCCTGGAAAAAGTAAAATCTACCTTAAGAAATGTTTCAAAATTCCTACAGAGGGGTCTCAGATGGTCTCAATTGAGAATCTGTGTGAAATGACATCCTATATATACTATGGAGTCTGTGTGAATGTAACATTTTGCTTCAATAAAAAGACAAAAGTTGTAAAAATTTGCACCTGATTGTAAAGGGGTCAGTTTGGAGGCTGATTTTTCATGGAATGACGTTCTCACACCCTGATATGCAATCGGCTAATTGGGGCTGGATTCGGTCAAACTGCTAATTTGACTGACTTTGACCCCAATTAGTCTGTCACATGAACATGTAGAAAGTTTGGGGTGGGTCTGATGTCATAGGTTGTGTCAGAACATGCTGATCTTGCAAAGTCACTTGGTGTTTATGCAATGACATTGTGCAAGTGCTCACTGCAAGTGTGTTGAATTGTTTGCGAGCATTCATATGTGCTTGTGTTTGTGTATTCGGCCACAGAGGGACCATCTCCTACCTCGCTTCCCCGAGACGGTCCATTTGCAAGGTGAGAAGAATATCTGTGGATCTGTGCACCTGAAGATGGTTATTTACGGTTTCTGTTGATATTAAGAGCTCAGGCACATGGAAACCTCAGTATTCTGATTTATTTCTAACAGTATAAATGAATTACTTCACATTGTCTTTGCTTCCCTGTAATTTCTGTCAGGTTCAGTATTGAGCGCTCAAGCTCAGCCCAGGTGGAAATGCGAGCAGGACAAACTGCCAGACTGCCCTGCACTGTTGTCCCCTCCTCAGCTCGGCAGTCTGTCAGCATTGGGTGGACTAAAGATGGACAGATAATAAGTGACCCCAGGTAATAAGTGAAGACATTCAGAAATTTATGAACCCTTTATTAAAAACATTGCTAGCAGTGAAAGTTCTTTGATTTTATTCACCGGTCTTACTATTAGTATTTTTATTTTTGAGATCTATTACCTCTGTGATGTCAGTTGGCATAGCTCAGTTATTTAGTCCACTATATAATATAAATTTGATTCAAGCTGAACTTTGGAGTCTAAAGAAAATAACCTGATCTGTCTTTATCCATGTGAGATTGTTTTATTATCCAAGAGATGCAGACACTGTTAAAGCCAGCTTGGTATAAATTTCCGTGGTTTGCCTGTTAGGGTTTCGGTAGTTTATCATTTTAAACCATAAAAACGAGTCATTTACGAAGAAGTCGGTGTAAACTGAGGTCCTGTCTGCTGGCTGTGCTGCAGGTTTACTCAGCATTCAGATGGCACCCTCATCATCGGCCCTCTGAAGTCTGATGACTCTGGTGTCTACACATGTACAGCCTCCAACCAGCAGCAGCTGGAGCAGCGACAGCTGCAGCTCAGAGTCCAGCGTAAGTTTTATTCATAGCCTCATCATTTTTTTTTAAAAAACATGTACCATTTGGATGCTTGTGTGCAATAGATACATAGCTAGATAGGTAGCTTATCAAACTCAGAAGGGAAATTATGATTGTAAGACTGAAACCCGAGGCTGCAGTTTCAGATAATCACCAGCAGAGATCAGTAAATGTCACTGACTGCCTGATTCTCTCTCTGCTTGCACTGTTCAAATACAATGAACAGTGCTGAAATAGTGTATGAGTGTGTGTTAATAGACATAAACTGTAGTAGAAGTCTCATAGAAATATATTAACTAAATTACTATTAAACTAAATTATTATTATTTTATTATATAAAACCATATTTTAAGTCTAACACATATTGTAAACGGATTGTTTCCTTTCCGTTCAGTTCATTCCCGACTGTGTGGGAACACCAAATAAACACTAATCCAATGATCCAGACCATGAACATATTATTTATGAATTTACATTCCTAAGATTTTACAGCTGAGTTGATCACATAATTAAGAAATCTATTTCTCTGTCAGACCAATAAACTTGGGAAAGAAGTGTTATGAGGAAGTAAGGCTGTGTAGTTTATTTAAAATCAACAATTATACATCAGATATAAAACTGGAGTGTGATTATTATTGCTTATGAAACATTCCTTTATTGTTAATAATTTGCTTAAATCTTGTGGTCGTTTAGAATATGCAGTGTACAAAGGGTGGGTGTAATAGCTAAGCTGTTTTTTCTGTTTAATTTAAGTATTTGTTGACCAATTTTATTTTGGGGTATTGTTGTTGTTATTGCCTTTTAAAAAAATCTTTTACCCATAGGGCAAGACCCAGGATAAAACTGTAAAAACTGAATATGAGAAAAACGTGACATTAGTGATCTTTTCTCTTGGTTTCTTTGTCCAGCTGATCTGAAAATCACAACAGCTCCCAATAACATCCAAGTGTCAGAAGGCAGCACGGGCATGCTTCCCTGTGTGGTGTCAGGAGACAACGTCAATATAGGCTGGTCAAGGTGAAAACTACTTTATTAGACATCATTAAGAATAAGTGGAAGAGATGCATGAAACATCTGTTAAACTGTCTGATTTTAGGTTATATAGCATTCAAAAAGAATCCCAAATAAAAGTAAAAATGACCCCAAAAATACACCCTATAACTTTAAAGACTTAAATGTTAAATAAGGTGATATTTGTCTACAAAATAAATATATAAATCCAGTTCTTGTTGTCATCAACACTGACATTATTTACTTTCATGGCCCTAAAATCCAGAAATAAAGCCATGAGTTGTATTTCTGTTACTTGCAGTTACAGAGCACACATGCATTAATATAAGCATTAAAAAAAGTGAACTGATTTTTAATTTAAGTGCCTATTGAATGCATTTAAATAATGTACCTAAACATTTCCTGTCGCTCTCTTTAAATACAGAAATGGTGTACCGGTGCGTCCAGATGGGCGCAATATCCTCTTGTCTTCTGACGGCAGCCTGATCCTTAATAATGTCAAGCCTTCTGATCAGGGAACGTACACCTGCAACGCGTACACCGGCATTTACTCTGTGAGCGCCACAGCTGAAGTAAAGGTCATTAAAGAAACACAGCAAGGTGAGAACGCTAAATCAGCTCAGACCTGTTATCTGCACTGCAGAGGAAATGTAGAAAAACTGAACTTGGAACGGATTTATTTATTCGCCACGATATCATCGTGTATTTATTTTTTTTAGCTTGAGTTTAAACAATGATTTTTGCTTTAACCCTTTAAAGTGAAGTGTATCATATTTTATATGTGAGTGACTTTGAGTTTTTTAGATTTCTACATCACCAGTGTGACTTTTCCTCCTGAAAAAAAACAACAACATAAGCTGCACGGTGCATTTTTAAAAAATCAATTGCAGAAAAATGACTGAATATTATCTACATTTTAACAGATTAAAATGATTGAAATTAATTTCATATATGCAAATTAATATTTAATAAAATTTTATTTCATCATAAGCACTCCATTTTAAAAAGAAATTGAATTTTCTGGCAAATATTTCATTGCTCAGGCTTTAAATTTTAACGTTTTTTTTAATTAAATAAATTTTTTAAATTTTTTAAAATTTTTTTAAAATTTTTATTTTAGCTTTTTTTTGAAGTATTTAAAGATCCACAAAGGATCAAAGCAAAAAAAATAAAAAATTAAAAGATTTAACAATACATTTTATACGACATAATAAACAAGAAAGCTGTTTAATGCAGAGAACAAACAGTTAAAAATAAAGTGTAGAACCATAAAAAGTGTTATGTAGCTTGATTAATCTGTTGTACTTATATTTATGTGACTCTGATCCTGTCTACTGTGCCGCTGCAGGCGCTGACATCCCGCCAGAATGTGTGGACCAGTCTGATCTTGCCAACTGTGAGCTGATAGTTTACGCCCGACTTTGCTCCAACTCATACTACTCCAGTTTCTGCTGCGCCAGCTGCACCAGGCATTCACAGAAGAAACGACAGGTTTGGTCGACCAGGTTAAAGCCACAGAGGGTGTAAAAACTATGTGATGTGTGGTGGTGGACACTGGGGTGGGATCTGAATTCCCATTTAGATTCTAAAAAACTCGAGCTGTCGACTGCAAGCTGCTGCATTTGCCAAAAGGACTCAAAAAACCCTGAGCAGATTGTACAGAAATGTAATTCAATATTGCAATCTTAAAAAAGGGACGGATCACTGTAGATGCACAGTAGTTAAAGCTACAAAGTAAGTGGTGTTCAGGGAATCTTATGGAGCGATAAAAGATGGGCCTTAAAATATAACGTAAACCTGTGTAAAGTCTGAATGTGATGAGACGATGAACTCGTTCTTACTCTGCCACACCTTTAAAATGAGTTATGCTCTCACTTGATCTATATATTCTCTGTTTTTTGAGAATCATGATGATAATAACTCTTATACATGTTATTAAAAAAGGGGAAATTACTTTTTTCATGCCAGTAAATCACTGATACAAGGCTGCACTCATTGCTGCTTCTGTATCATATAATGAAACTCTACAAGACTTTTCCACTATTTTTTTATTTCTATGTAATTATTTGACAATAAAGGTCATATTTTGATAAAAAACTTTGGTTGACTTCAATGACTGTATGTTATACACCTGTGTGCTGAATTGTTCCAGTTTCTACCACAAGGTGTCGCCCAACATGAGAAGCACAGTTTCTCATTCACTTGATGGAAACTGAACATGAACATAACTGAACCTTCACTGGAAAATAATTCAGTGACATATCTAAATTTATTAGAGATGTTTTCCACTGCATATTGCAGTATCTACTCCAACCGTCAAGTCAAGCAATGTCTAACAGTAAGAATAAACTTTAAGATGAACATTTGTAACATCTCTCAGCAATCAGCTTTTTTTGCTCTTGTGTTGTTTTCATAAACATAATTTAACTACTTACATTCTAGCTTTAAGATGGATTTGCTGGCTCTACAAACAAAACAATCTTTAGCTAACTATCAGTATTTAATCTCCTCGCCGTGGTGTATATTTGTGGAGCGTTCTCTTTATATCTTGAATATTCTTTAGTACAGTTGTGAGCTATAGTACGGCACATCTGGTTCAGACAGACAATAAACGGTATAGTGCAATATTTTACTTAATGTAGCCACTAAGTAAAATAAAACTCATTGTTTAATAATCTTTATATTTACAGTTCAGGTCCAAGGCTTTGCACATTAGGATGTTATAAAAAAATAATCTGGCCCTTTCCCTAAGATTATGGAAACACAACCTCAGACAAACATCATGTTATGTCATGTTATTGTTTAACAAAATGTGAGCCAACATGAAGAGGTAGTTTGAACTGATCAATTGCAAGTGTGAGCTCCTTTATAAATGCAGACATTTAGGAAGCTTGCTGGTCTGGAGCGTTCAGGTGTGTTAACACAATACTAAGGAGGAAAAACGGTGGTGCTGATCTGAGACAAGCAACTGTTGCTGCCCTTCAGTTTGGGAAAATGTATGAGGTAATTTACAGACAATCTGAAATCCATCATGCTACAGTGACAAGACAAAACATTTGCCAATCTTCCCAGCAGTGGAAGTCCCAGCAACTTGACTCCAAGATCCTTCTGTATTACTGGGGGGAAAAAAGAGCTTCATTTCAGACTTTACAGGCCTCAGTTAGCAGGTTAAATGTAAAGTTCATGACAGTTTAATGAGAGTAAGACAGAATAAGTATACCATATTTGAAGAGCTACTAGGAGAAAGCCTCTTCTCTCTAAAAACAACATGGCAGCATGGCTTAGGTTTGCAACGTTCAACTTGAACCAACTGCACAGCACTGGAATGCACAGGATCACATATGATTAAAGCCAAACACAGCATATCAACATAAACGCCTCATATCAACTGTCAGATACGGTGGTGGAGGGAAGAGAATTTGGGCTAGTTTTGCAGCCACAACACGTGAGTACCTTACAGTCATTAAGTCGACCGTGGACTGCTCCGTATACCAAAGTATTCTGAAGTCAAATGTGAGGCCATCTGAGGGACAACTAAAGCTTGGTTGAAAATGGATAATATAAAAGAACAATAATCTCAAGCATAGCAGCAAATCTACAGCAGAAAGACTGAAAAAGAGAATAATTGGTGCTGGAGTGGCCTGGATAAAGTCCAGACTTCAACCTGAGTGAAATGTTGTGCCTTAAGAGAGCGGTAGATAACAAATGACTGAAAAGCTCAATGAATTGAAGCAATACTGTAAAGAAAAGTGAGCTAAAAATTAATCTACAGTGATGCATTTTGGCTTAAATTTAGTGTAATAATTTACGTTTTGTTACCAGCTTATAAGATCTGGTATACGCTGGCTATTTTTTTTTTTATTCGCTGACATGTAAAACCTTAGAATTGACAGGGGCTGTAATTTCTTTTTATCATGTCTGTACCCGTCAGCTGTGATTGTGTTTTTAAGACAAAAAACCCAAACACTGGCTGTTTTCTTTATGAGCTCCACACGTGTGAGGTTTAAATTAGCAGCTTATACATTCATTTAAGGATCACATTCAGGGGAAGTTAAAATTATTTTCCTAACAGATGGCAGATGTGCCACATTTCTGTTGCTGCTTCAAAGACTACGCTTCCTGTTTATTTGACTTCAGGACAAGAAAACATGTTTTTCAAGGAAGCAACCAGGGAAAGCAGAATGTGACGGTTTGAACTGAGTCCTGTAAAAAGGCCAGATTATCTTTGATTGCAGTCCCACACAAACCTTTATCTTATAGTTATATACATATATATACATTTAAACACTGTCAGTTATGTTTTTAAATGATCTGCTGATATTTGCCTGAAGTTCTGTGGCTTCCCCCAAGTCGGATTTTATCTGGTGCAAAATGTTGTGCCAGATCACTGCAAACAGCTTTTGCATAATGTATGACATTGTTTTTGTACAATGCGTAACTTCAGTTGACACAGAAATGGAAGTTTTCCATCTGTTTGCTCATAGATGTGCAGAGCGGGGGGGTCGGTGCAAAGTTGCAGGTGCACACAGTGAGCCGGAGGTTGTGGTAAAGTGAAGGTTGCACCTCCGCCGTTTCTCAGCACGGAGAGCGAGCTGCAGGCTGCTCTGTGACCACATCCTCTCCTCTGCTGTTGCACTCTCCTCTGCAGGGTTTCATGCCCTGGTTTATCTTTCTCACCCACAGCAGCTTTGACCTTCTTCAGTACACAGATGAAATGCTGATTTCCTGTTATGGGTTAGACTCGTGTTCTTATTTTGCTACAGAGAGTGTTTGAACTAAAGAAAGATATTCTTTGTTTAAGAAAAGAATGCATGTTGTCACACACTGTTTGTGTTTGTGGAAAAGGTGACTCAAAAAGTGAATTGATTTCCAAGAAAAGTAAAGAAAATTACTGGATGAAATTTAAATTTACTAGTAGATTTTACCAGACACTTTTTAGTCATCGGTTTTCTGAATGGAAAATCCTGTTATGAGTAAAATTAACCATCTTAAGTTCTCCTGAGGTGAGATGTTTCAAGATTATGGGGGAGAAAATAGACGATTTCTCAGAAAACAGGCTAGTTGATGAAAAATACATTTTACAGTATCTCTGGAAAAACCTGATATGTAAAACCAGAGAAAGGCGATGATATTCTTCACAAGTTTGAGCAAATGACACATTATAATCCACCTGTCTCATCCTACCTTTTTCAAATTAAGTAATAGTTTTTGATATTATGATATGAAGACTGATTCACAGCTTTAAAAAGTATTTCCGGGGCAAACTACACAAGAACAACACAGCTTTAAAATAATCTAAGATACTTTTATTAAGAAGAAAATCAAGTTACACACAGAAAATCCCTTTGTATCTAAAGAAATTGACATCAGTCTATTTGAAAAGCAGTTATTAATTATATAAAGACAAATAAGCACATAAAAATCCACAGCAGAACTTGAACAGGTGATTAACAGTGTGCACTTTAACAATAGACTATGTTTGTGAACGATATTTACAGAGAGCAAGGTAACTCATGTCCCAGAGTTATTTTTTGAGGCTTCAGCTCAGCTCTCAGTACTTCTGCTTTCCACCAAAACGCTGCAAAACATAGAAAGAAAGCAGAAAGTAATAAGTCATTTGTGTTACTGTTATTATTATAGAGAGAGACAATTTGTGTTTTAAGAACAGTTCATCAGAAGTGGTAAGATTTGGACAAACCTGAAGCTTCCACACCAAAAATCCAACGAAAGCTCCATAGGCACAGCTCTTGACAGTAAGCACGCTGTAGACAACCTTGAAATTTTGTGTAGTTGTCAAATACTTCTCTGTAAATAAAAAATAAGAAATATTTAGTGATACAACATAGCTTCTGTATTTCCAAGTGATGACAATCATGCTAGAGCTGATTCACTGAAGGAATAATTTATAATATTTACCTCTTGATATAGAATTTGTCTCAGCTGTTTGAAAAAAAAGAAGAAATTATTAGTTCACAACAGATGACTGAAATATTAAAAGATTTGCATATAATATGTGCATATAAGAGCAAGACGATTAAGTTCCACAAGAATTTACCCGTAACTCCGTCAATAAATGCTGGATAATCTGTATATACAGTGCCACTGAAGAAATTGACAACGCATTTAAAGGTATTGCCAGGATTTTCCCATTGTTTGGCATAGACTCTCAGCCTGCTGGTGATTTTGTACACGGTCTTGTTGTTGTGATCTTTTCCTTCACGCGCAGCTTCATCTGTCGCCACACCATCAGCGACATTTTTCTCATTCATTTGCCAATACACTTTGACATGGTCAGGGTAGAAACCAGAGGCCACACAGACGAGGGTCTTCTTCCTTTTTTTGTCTTTGCTGTTTCTGCACTCGTGTTCTGAAGGTGTCAGTATTTGTACTTGTGGTGGAGTGACGGCACTGTTTTCTTCTGCAAGGACAAACGACAAAGAAGAATCACATTAACACACATGACTAAAACTGCCTTTAGATCCACAACAAATGTAAGACACCCAAGTCTCGTGCACATGCCAGGCAAACATTACAATTAACGCACAAAAACATCCAGGAGAACTTTTTTTCACACATATTAACACAAAGGATGAATTCAGATTACAAAACTCACATTTTCTTTATTACTAAATTATTGTGGTGATCTTACCCAGAACTGTTAGCTTGGTTCCCTCTCCAAAATAAGGAGGATAAGTGCCAGAGCACAATGCCAAGTCACAGTCACAAAAACTCACAAGACTTAGAACACTTGGATTCACCTCAAGCATTTGTTAGTTCACATACAAAGCGATTACTCTGCTATGTGCAATTTAAATCACTTTTTGATAAAACAAACTGCACTTTTCTGCCAGCTGTTCCATAACACAAATCTTCCAGACTTGAAGCCATTTTTTTCAAATATCACAGTTTTCTGACACATTCTGAGACGTTTACTCATCAAAATGCAATTTAAAGGTTTACAGCATGGATGACGACATCTTTACAACTCTAAAAACAAGTATTTATGCACTATTTTGTCACTTTCTTACCCAGTACTGTGAGTTTGGTGCCACTGCCAAAGTAAGCAGGGTCGTAGTTGTTCACACTGATAAACTGCTGTAGAAAAAACTGCTCTAGAAAGCTGCTGTCTGTCTTTGTTCTCTTTTTTCAGTGTTAAACAACTTTTACACCCAAACATATAGAAAAGACCTGAGGAAAATCATCTGCTTGTAGCATTATTAAGCAGATTTTAACCATGTAAGAGAATTAATTTTTGAAATGCACAAATCTAAAATAACAGACATTAAAACCAACTAATTTACAGAATGATCCCAATGAATGTTTCATCAGAAATGATTACTTTAATGTTAATCCATCTTTGCACTCTTACCTAAAACCGTGAGTTTAGTTCCAGCTCCAAAATAAGCTTCTGACTGGAAACTCACAGTATTTCACAGAGCTGATAAGAACTGAGTGTGAGAACAATATTCTGGGCGCAGAGCCAAACGTTTTATAGGCACAGTACTTTTACTGGAGAACACAGATAACACTTTTTTCTCCTGGCACAAGAAAACGTCAACATAAATTACTTTTAAACTTCAACATTTGCCCACTTTTTTCACTACCATAACATAGATATATATAAAGAAATTAAACATATACTAAATGTTGTCATTCAACCAACATATAAACACCATGAGAGTAAAGCCCAGCTGAGTTTTGTTGTAAGTTTTCTTACCTAAAACAGTGAGTTTAGTTCCAGCTCCAAAGTAAGCCTCGCTGTAGGAGCACAGAGACTTTGTACTGTGACAAAAACCCTTCCTAGTGCCTCTCTTTAGCTGTGCCACATTGAAATTATTCCAACTGTCACTTTTTTACATGTAAAGACTTTGACTTTAGCTACAAGTTTTTGGTGTGATTTTAAAGTTTTAGAGGCAGCTTAACAAAATCAGTCCTCAACATTATTTAGTGAACTTTAAAATGTGTTCTTACCTAAAACAGTTAATTTTGTTCCTCCACCAAAGTGAGCCTCTGAAGCACCAGAGTCACAGTGCACCTGATCAGTGCTCAAAACAGCTCAACACATGCTGCTTCTGCTTTGTTTCTTAATTCTTTGCTTGCTTCTAATAAACTAAATGTTACTTTTCTTTAAATTAAAAATCCCACATATGCTGCACTGCTCTTTTAAGTTTTTACAAGTTTAATATAATGCTAAATGTTTGTGTTTGTTTTTTCAGGCAACACTTATTCTTTAATTGGTTTTAATTTGAAACATTTATGAGAATAAATTTTGATTCGTCACTTACCAAGAACAGTTAGTTTTGTTCCCTGCCCGAAATAAGCTTCGTTCTGACACAGCATTTAAACCTCAGAGCAAAAAGCCCTGAGCTGAGACTACAGAGACCTCAAATACAGTTTGTTTAATAATGACTCCAGTTGGGAATTTTTAACATCTATTTGGATTAATGTCGCCAAGACCTTACTGCAGATATACATATACTCATGTATAGTTTTTGTTTCTTACCTAAAACGGTTAATTTTGTTCCTCCACCAAAGTAAGCCTCTGAACCAGCACCAGAGTCACAGTGAAGTTAATTAGTGCTCAAAACAGCCCAACATGCTGTTTCTACTTTGCATCTTCATTTTTTGGTCTCTTCATAAAAAATAGTTTCCTTTTACTTTTTTTTTCTTTTAAATTAAAAACTCTAAATGTGCTTGGCTGGTGGAGTTTTTGTTGTTGTTGTTTTTACCAGTTTAAATGCCAAACACCTTACTGAAACACTTTTGTCAGCTTTAACTAGTTTAACTATGTTTATGAAAAGACATTTAGATTTTTCACTTACCAAGAACAGTCAGTTTTGTTCCGTGGCCGAAATAAGCTTCATAATTGGCACAGTGTTTAAGCTTCTGAACAAAAAGCACTGAGCTCAGACTATAACGAGTCCAAGTACAGTAAGTTTGTTACCAAGCTGCTCATGTAAGAAAGTTTTTTATATTAGTTATTCCTC